AGAACAAAATTTATGGGTCAGATAATAGTCCAATTGACAGATATGAAGAAAAACGACAAAACAACAAAGGTTATAATAATAAGCTGAATGGTAATCAAGAAAACTTGTAAAAGGTAATAATAATAATAATAAATGATTAGAGTTTAAAGTGCAAAATAGTAATTTAGAAATATAAATAATAATAAAAGGGAAGAAAAAAATAAAACATTCCACGCAGCCAAGCTTCGAACCATCTTCTCTATCCGACCTACCATTCTGGGGTGCGTTAAGGACAAACTTTCGCTTTGGGTCACTTCAATGTGTATCTATAAATTTACTTGCTCATGTGTGGCATGTTACATAGGCCACACAAAGCGATCATTATCCAAACGCATATCGAAACATTATCCGGCCTGGCTCTTGAAAGGGGAACGAAAAACAATCACCAGTTCGATACAGGAGCATTTAATTAACTGTGGACATATCGCTCCAAAAGACTCTTCGTTTAAGATAGTTTACAGAATCAAGGGAACTGAATCGAAGAGGGTTTGAATCAATATTTTATGCACCACAGATGCATTGGCAATCCACAAACTAAAGCCTGAACATTGCGTGCAGAAACGATTTGTCCAACCTCACATCCTTCGCTGGCCCTAATTCCCTTAACGGAATGTTTCCAGGTGTTTTTTTCTGCCCTTTTATTATTATCTATATTTCTAAATTACTATTTTGCACTTTAAACTCTAATCATTTATTATTATTATTACCTTTTACAAGTTTTCTTGATTACCATTCAGCTTATTATTATAACCTTTGTTGTTTTGTCGTTTTTCTTCATATCTGTCAATTGGACTATTATCTGACCCATAAATTTTGTTCTTCCTTACCCCTTGATTAGTACGTTAACCTCATTTGTTATTTATTGTCGAATCCATTTTTTGTGATGCAATCCTTTCTATCCTTCTATAGACATACATTTTCCATATAACTCTATATACGAATGTACAGCTTAAGTAAATGATTTCGTCGAAAAGAACATTTTCTTCACTGAATTCTCTTTCGCAAACAGCAATGAAGCATTCTTAACAAAAGTTTTAATGTACCTGTCACATTGCGAATCTGTACCCATGGAATTCCGATATAATGACGGAGAAGAGTGTTACTTGAGTAATAAAGGACCAAAATAAAGCAGAAGCCACGACAGACGATTTTTTAAACGTTCTACAATGACAAGAATCCTTTAGATTCTATACTAGCTCAATAAGCACTATCAGCAGAACACCATATAAATCCACCGGCATATGCGGTACTCAAACCAAAATCTTATGGAATTTACAAAATTATTTGGTTCATACATGCTGCACTCTTAAAGAGTCTATTTGTCTAAAAAAGTGAAGTGGAAGCTTCTTATCTCAATCACTATCCGTGCTCCCACAGTAACAAGGGTTACGAGTGAAATAATTTGTGAATATCACCGTGACTATCTACTCATGAACTCCACTCTATAGGAATCGTAGCACGTTTATCCCTGGGAAAAGTTATAATTTACAACTCATAAATAGCCTCAGCAAACAAAAATCTCAATTACAGACAACTATCAGGCAAAGTAGGACTGCTGGATTACAATGCCACACTCTCCACAGCAGGGAACAATCTGAGAATCACACAGTGGTAATCTGCCACTCTTCCCGTCCTCACTCTACAAACCACAAACTATGTTGTGTCCTGAGGATTCGTCCATGACTTAAAGTACCCAGAAAAATGCCAACAACTTGCCTACTCGACGTGAATTCGACCTACAACTACAAACGAAAGAAACAAAGTTATCTGGGTATGAAAAAGTCAGCATAACTGGATGAAGCACAGTGCAAGACAGTGAGAAAACCTTCAAAATGTATTCCTCACGTACTCATCACGAGAATCATGATGTAACTCTGCCGGAGTGAATCACAAACAAATTGGTAAGATGAGACTACCACGTCATTAACACAAGACCAACACTACTCCCATCAAACTACAGACTGATTAGACACATCAATGTTGTGGTCAAACTATCGGAAAGAATGATCAAAACGACCACGACGACTCTTGTGGAGTCAACAACATGCTGACTAATGGACAATTCGTTTTCGGGACATTATGGTGGACAGTTGTAATCTTGAAAGCGAAATAGAGGTAAATGGGATCTTCTGATGATCGAAAGTCAGTGGATGTTCCCATCAAAAGCCATCATTCATATGTTCTATTATAGTGAAGATTAAATTATGGTTAACCTCTGAGATCTAATAATGGACCAAAATTATACATATGTATATTCCTCTTATTATAAGGTTCGTTTTAACCTATAGATTATTATTGTACGATTTACTGTTCTTAAGTTATACTCTGTTTATTAATTACTGTATCCCACGTTCACAGCCACTTCTGGCTTTATTGTGTATAAATGTTATTTCCTATTTTATGGTGCGTTGCGGTCTGTTTGGTTGATATATAAACCCAGTATTTATGAAATAAATGATTCTCATAGTAGAAGCTGCATTAGTGTTCTGGACTCAACTGGAACGGCTAGGCGAGCAAGGGACCAACAAGGACGCTAGACTGAACAGACCTGTCGAACGTCAGTGGTTAGTATAGTACAGGAGTCGAATTTCGGTTAGTGAATAAATCACATGATAACTAGACGGACTTAAAGGCATGACACACTGGAGTACTGAAAGCGTCATTTGTAGGTCCATAGTGATGTAAGGAAGTTGCAGTCACATGAATTGAAATCTCCAAATACAACTGAAAGTGAATCACTGAATGCAGTGACAGCGAATTCAGTGGATTCATAAGCGAAAGCAGATAGCGCAAATGATGTGCAGTGGCATTGGACAATAACCACACAATCCTCAAAGCTGAACACAAGACTACTCGGAAAACAGATATCCAATAATTAACGCTGAGAAATACCTAACAAAGGATAAGGCGCGAACAAGGAGTTGAATGAATTGGAGCTGATCGAATGCCATGGCTCGGCCATGCAGGCGTGGTCCGTACTGAATGTTACCTTATATCTTCCATGCATATTAAATATATTGTTCTTTCTCTAGCCTAACCTTGTTCTCCATCATGTGTTGGTAATTGATACGATACAGTGAGTTGGTGTAGACGATGATGTAACTTCCACGTAAGATCTTATAGATTAGGCAGTTATATCATGATAAGTCTATAATTTTAGGTTTAGGTCTATTATTAGAGCAGTACTAATATCACAGTAGACCATAATTCTACAGATGTACAATCTGGATTCACGTAGATGTTGGTAACATAAACATATTTGCACCTATGAAGATGTTCTGAATGGCATCTTAAGGCTGGACAGTCGATGACGTCATTTCAAGTCTTGAAACAAGCAGAAATAGATCGGCGCTAGTTCACGTTTATAAACATAGCTATACCGCCGCCATACCTCTTTCTATTGTTTGACCGATCCCGAAAAGAAACTTTGAAATCACGTGGTGATATTAAACAATCGTCATTTAAATCATTTAAGCAAGATTCTTGAATTGTGGTGACACTACAATTACGGTACATATTTTGACAGCGTATGAACTGAAGGTAGTTCACCTTGTTAACTAGTGATCGGCAGTTAGAATTTAAAAGCTCGTGGATCGACATAGGATTATCGTTCATTCATTTTAACGCATATTGACAACCACCGTAATGTTTATTATTGTACTTTTTCGTAACATGTGAAGCGAAATGCTGTAGGCTTCTCATAAACGCGCCTGTATAGATTATCGATCAAAAGACAAAACGAAGTGTTAGAAAACAATGAAAAACAGATAATAAGATGAAAGGAACGAGTGGCCCAGATCCTCAAACAGGCCGCCGTGCTGATGCTCGTCCACTACAAGGTGCGGTAGACCTTCTGGTTATCTAGTCCGGATTGTGACTGTTGTCTACTGACGTGTGTCTGCGTGGAAACTCGACAGAGGTACAGAAGTGATCGCAATGTCGGGAGGAATTTATGACTTTATTGTCGTGTAGCAATGATCTAGGAGCAATAATGAATCTCGGCATCAAGACTGTGGCTCATTGCTTCGTGAGCACAACCAGAATGTTTGAAAACTTACGTGGATTGAGATAAATATTCACTAAGTTGGATACAAATATGCTCTTCACAGTATACACATCTTTTATGAGAGTCAAAACAGGGGACTGCATTCATGCCAATAGTTCCAGTTTATAAGTTGACTCGGACATCCTTGAAACAGCATGGTGGACAACTACAATTCCGGAATTCTGAGGCCTACCATGCAGAGTGGTCCGGGAAGTTAAATCTTCTTACCTCGTCTTGCCGTAGACCGGTGTGTTCCGTTTTGGATTATAGGATTATAAGAAGTGAATTCGAACCTATTCTTTCCCACTAGATATATCAGAGGACATGATAGGTGTGTTCACAAATTCAAGAACAAGCAAAATGTCTGGGATGTGCAGTTTCTCACTAAGTAATCAACTTTGGACCTACCATCAAAAACAGTGGTATATACACCTTCAACTGACTCAATCAGGAGAGTACTAGACGGTCATAGAAGTATTCTAAAAAATAGGCGACACAGGTCTTTGGACCTCTGCCTTAAACCCGACTCACGGACTACTCACAACCGTTTTCTGTGTTTAGTCAAGATTGAGTTCGGAAAATCTCCCACAAAATATTTGCATAGATATGTCTCTCTCGAAACCTTTCCAAAGAAGGATGTCTATGACGGTACTAGGAGTAGAAGACGGACGATTTTCCTCAGGTACTCTGAGATTATAGCCATGTGTTACTCTTCATAAGCTTATGCTACGATTAACCAGCAATTTTCTGCTTTACATTCCGAAGAAACACCTTATGAACTAATCTTATTTGAAACAAGAACGTTCTATTACTATCCAGAAGAAGATCTCATGAAACAAGCAGTTCCATATCACGACAGAACGACCTTCCGGTGATTCCAGCTTTCTAATGGTTATTTAGCTTAGATCGGTTCGATATTTCAACAGGATACGTTACTATCGCGGAAAAATTTGAGGCTTGAAGCTATACCGTATTTCAAGGTCAGACCAGCGAACGCTCATGAGCTGATTGTGGCAGGTTCTTTTGAGGTGGGTTCATATTTCTTAGTTTATGTCTCCAAATCAAGTATACAGATAATAATAAGTAATTACAGATCCAACTAAGATATATTACGGTTTATTTTATTTGCCGGAAAATTTATTTAAAACTCACTTCTTGTTTTTAGAAACTGGTTAACATTTGTAAGCGGCCAGTTGTTAGCTTTCAAGAACCGAAACTGTAATTACATGATGTCCCAAACAACACAAAAAGGGGAAATAAAGGGGGAAAAGGGGGAAATAAAGGGGTAAATGCTATGGTAGCGAAAGGGGAAATATAGGGGAAAACGCGCCAGAATGTCGCCTTTTTCGCCTGTCCGGGGGAAATAATGCGGATTTTCCCCTTTTTCGCCTTTTTGTCGACAAATTACGGACTTATCGCCTAAATATCCGCTGAATTGTCGCATTTTCGCCTAAATATCCGCTAAATTGTCGCATTTTCGCCTAAATATCCGCTAAATTGTCGCATTTTCGCCTAAATATCCGCTGAATTTTCGCATTTTCGCATTTATGTCCCTAATTGCACATGAGTTGAAGTCGCGCAGTCTTCGGCGTGCTAAATCTATCCATAAATTAGCTAGTTTTTTGGTAACACCGAGGTACACCATGTGCATAGGATCTAGAGGAAAAGTTAAAATCATATCAATCGAAAGCGTTTCCATAATAGAATGTCCTTGATGGTGAATTGATTGAGACTGACGACGGAAGGTGTCGTCTGTTCTTAAGGTATGTACTCCATTTGGGAAGGTCGTTTTCCCCTCCAGCCGTCTCCCAAGTACAGTACACCTATCGCAACCTGCCTTACCGTTGTGATTTACCGTGTACCTAACAGAAGAACGAGCAGGTGCGTCACATATAACAGCCGCCAACCTAATAGCTATACATTTATTAAACTTTACACTAAAAAGACCCACGTCAGTCATTTCTTTTATTTCAGAAATTGTGTCCGCAGAAAACTCGTTGAATTCTGCCGGCTTACTATTTCCTCCGTAGATCCCTATCATGAACACGTCACTAAACCTAGGGGCAACGATCCGTCCTAGTATAGGCCATAACTGTTGATTGGAGCTTCTAGACATAGAAAGTCCATCCACACTGATATATAAATTTAAAAATTCAAAATCACTAGTACACAACCAAAGTTCAACGTATCTTAGCAGATTGGTTTTCAATCCTAGATGGTAGTAAACCCCACTGCCGATAAACGTTGGTTGAACACTTGGACACGTCTTTAGGACACCTCTGATGCTTTTCGGAATGTCAGGGATAAAAACTCTTAGACCATACAGAACCCGATCAGCATCCCTTATGCTTAGAGATGTATTTGACATTAGATACATCATCAAGTCGTTCATCATTTCTTTGCGATTCACGAACTTTGGAGAGAACAGGTTCACTTCAGGAGATCCTATAATATATATATTCACGTATGAACTTAGTATACATACCACTATTATCTGAAAGTCCTTGATTGATGTTGCTAGTCGATGGTGTAATAGCTGAAGTACTGTCATTACAAGTGATTTCTCTCTTTACTTCTATCAATTTAATAAACAACATTGTTGAACGCAGTTACCTTTTAAGGTACTTTCATTAGCAAACTCACTGAACGAAAGAAAGTCATATTTTTTCATGAAAGCAGCTCTCATTTTATTCCACCTTCTGTTATAAGTGGATCTATGACAGCCAAGGGAACGTGGCAAGTTCACAGTGGCCCTACGTCTACGAACATTCTCACTGACTTCAACAGAACTCTTAGTATTGGCCTAACAATGTAATTAATTACAATGAACATAAAAATCTGAGAGCACGTCACTCACCTGCATCACGTAAGTTTTTTGTGATGGCTCCCAAGCATGTCGAAACACTTTAGCTAAACAACAAACGAAGTCAGTCTATATGCGTATGAACCGAATGCCTGGTTCCGTATTTTGTACCTTGTTTTTATGACAATAGTTTTGTTTTTTTATTAGGCGGTGCCTTAATTCGTTGAAGTATATGAAAAATGAAGCTCCACAAGCGGTTCATTCAAATACTGTACGTTACATAGAATTGTCGACAAATTTCCCCCAAATACACGACGTAAAGGGGAAAAAGCGACATTTCCCCTAAATAACCGACGTAAAGGCGAAAAAGCGACATTTCCCCTTTATTTCCCCCTTCGTCCGCTTTATTTCCCCTTTTTTCCCCTTTATTTCCCCTTTTTGTGTTGCTTGGGGTAGGGTTTCTCTGTGTTAAAACTTCGCCTTGAATCTTTATCCTTCGGTCTTCAGTAGTATACTACGTAATAATTATTACGTTTTTGAACCATTTTCCCAAAGTTTTCCATAGCGGCTTCCTCGAAATATACGAAGTTTTTCCTCAAAATAGTGAGACTAGTACATAATAAGGAGAACTCTGCAATCATTATTTAAGGTGCGGAACGTCAATATATGTTCAGCCTGGGTTCTTTCTGAGATAAGAAGGAGATAGTTAGCATATATTCTTCCAAGTCGTTTTACTTCAAATTGAGGTATTTAATCAAACGAAACTTCTTATTCATCAACATTGGATTTCTAGATTCTGGGTTTATGGTTTATTTACGAGACAATCAAGCATATACCTGTTCGTCTGACTGCTTGGCATTGCCATGATTTCTTAGATCCGAAGGCGAAGTCATACTGCTGACTGTACAGAGGTGTGACAGCAGTAAGGTGTTTCCTTCAGACAACCAGCATGACAGCGATGCTGCCTTCCCACAAGCAGGGGTGGGGTTAGAAAAGGTCGACCCTAAAAATGCACACCTCACCTTATCCCACGGACATCCGTCTCCGGCGGTAAGGTCCCAAAAAGTACGGAGCTAACACAAAAATTACCCATAATAAGATCGTGTGTGACCGACCTCAAGCAGTTGTCCCTTGGGCACTGCGGTCACGCTCCCAGGTCACTAAGACCACCTCTAATCCAATTTCCCTTTTAGGTACCTCCAGAAGAACCCTTCCACGGAGTGGGCAACCGGGAAGTGATAACCGCCCTCATACCTCTAACAGCACTCAAGACCACTGTATTCATAATCAACCTTCCTCTTCAATTCCTATTATTCCTCCTACATCGACTTTCACCTCTAAACTTCCTTTTTCGGCTTCCTCCTCAAATGTCACCATAGCCAACGATTCTAGTGCTCAAAACACTGTCCCAGGTTTACTGAAACCTCGCTCCAAACTACACATTGGAGCCTTCAACGTACGCATCCTATGTCAAATCGGTCAACAGGCTTCCTTGGCTAGAACCCTAGAATCTCGTACCATTGATGTATGTTGTGTCTCCGAAACACATACAGAATCCTAGTATGGTCATTCACTGGACCTCACCTCGCCAAAACGGAGAGCCAACGAGATACACCCTCCATGTATCTGGCGACCCAATGGCTAGTTCTCGTGGACTGGCAGGTGTAGGCATAGCACTAAGCGTGAGGGCGGAATAAACACTGTTAGAGTGGATCCCCGTTAACAGTCGTCTGTGCTGTTCGGCTAAACATCTCCGTAAGAACTCGGAAGGATAGGGACACACGGCGTTGCCCGTTCGTCGTTTCTGCCTACGCTCCCACCAACTGCAGCTCAGATGAAGTGAAAGATGAATTTTACAGAAAGCTATCTGTACTTCTTCAGAAAGCTAAACGTTCAGACATAGTACTCGTAGCAGGTGACTTTAATGCCCAGATAGGTAGTGTAAACCAAACAGAAAGGCATTTAGGTGGGTATTTCAGTATTCCGGCTCAGCAAACAGATAATGGTGATCGTCTGCTGCAACTGTGCTCAGACAATCGTTTATTTTTAGCAATCACTTATTTAAAGCATAAGGAGAGACATCGTCTAACATGGCGACCCCCTACACCAAACCAACGATGGACTCAAATAGACCATATTGCCATCAGTCATCGTTGGAGAGGTTCGGTAGAAGATTGTTGCTCATTCTGGAATACCTGCTTGAACTCCTAACATTCTCTAATACGGGCACGCATCTGCTTGCACCTCACTGGACGCAAAAAATCCACAGTAAAAAGACCCATTAGAATTGAATTGAGTAATGAGAAAACCAAAAGTAGGTTCCAGGAACAACTGAGGTCACAATTAGGTAGTTCTGAAAACGAGACTGATCCATATGTTGCTTGGAAAGATATACAAACAGCTGTGGAAACAGCAGTGACATCTGTTAGTGATTTAAACCAAAGGGTTACAAAGAACCAATGAATTTCTTCAAAGTCTATCACACTGATGGATTCTCGCAAACTCGTCCCATCAGGTTCCGAACATGATGAAGAGCGACAACAAATCAGACAACAAAATCAGTTCAGGTGTTGACGCAGACCAGTCCTGAAGCAACAACTTGCATTTAGAGGGAGAGAAGCGCATTCCAAACATTCTGGCATTGTTGCTCAGTGCTACCAAAAGACTGTGCATCTTGTCAGCGTCTTCACCAAACACGACTATGTCATCTACGTATTCTAAGTCGATAATTGGACCATCTGGTAGGAGATCAATATTCGAGAATTCAGTCGACGAAAATGTTATTTTCCATCAGTAGGTCTATGATGAAGATAAACAAAAATGGATAAAGTGGACAGCCTTGACGGACACCACTTGAGGTTGAAAAAGTAGATAACAGTTCGCCATCAGCTCTGATTCGACTAGTAGTGTTCGAGTAAAGAGCCTTCACAAGGTTTATGTACTTCTGAGGTAGGCCTTTCAATGACAGACACTGCCACAGAATTTCGCGGTCTACGGAGTCAAATGCTGCTTTTAAGTTAAGAAAGACCACCATTGTCGGACGCCGATAAGTATGCCTATGTTCTAGAACCTGACGAATGGTGAATATATGGTTGATGCAGCCACAACCAGGTCTGAAGCCAGCTTGGTTCTCTCGTGTTTGCAATTCACGAGTTTTATTTAGGAGTCTGATAATTATCGAGGCTAGTACTTTAGATATTATATTAGTTAAACTAATCCCTCTGTGGTTGTCACAGGATGATTTTAACCCTCTCTTATATATTGGGACGATATGTGATTGTGACCAGTCAGATGGTATAACGTTTAACTCCCAGAAATATGAGCGCTCAAATATTAGTCAACCTAATCGCTAAAATTGGACCACCATTCTTAAAGACCTCTGGAGCCAATCCATCTGGATCAGCTGCCCTTCCTTGTTTCAGGTTAATTATGGCCTTTTAAATTTCAGATAGATTCGGTGGACCTACTTCAGTGTTCCATTCAGACTGTCTGGAAATGGTGGGTAGTTGTAGAGTAGCTGAAGGCTAGTTGAATTGTTCTCTGAAATGTTCCGCCCATCGTTCTAAACGTCTGGACTGGGAGCAGATTAGACTAAAAGAAACAATTAGTCAAACTGAACAAAAGCATTAAGCGTAATTGTAGACAGTAAAAATAACCCACCTGCATGTCGTGAGAATTTTGAAAAAAGTGGTTTAAAGCCGACAACTCATTGTCTCGTGTTTGTTTGACGTACTACAACAAAACCTCAACATCGGTTTTGTATTCGTGACCAAAGTTCATGATATTATTAATAATAATATTTATTAATTGTAATTTCATCTTCAAAGGTTTAAAAATGCATTGCTGATAAAGTGTTTGTCTGGAAAACTACGCAATACAGATTTTGGGGTTTTTCCCCAAACTTTGGGGAAGGCCATCGAACTTTGTTCATTTCCTCAGAATTGGTTGATTGGGATGAGAATAAACTTTTATGTCGTTATTATCGACAGGCATTTCCTTGATGTCTGGAAAATTGTTGAGATGCATCACGTTAAAGCGAGGCATTTTAGATAATTTCACCGAAATTGCGGAAAAGTTTGCTGTTTCATAAATAAATATAGACAGATTTACCCTAAGTGTAGTAAACTTCTGGGGAAATCTTCAAAGCTTAGTGGTAATATTGGAGAAAAATCCGAAATTTTTGGGAAATATTGTGGAAAAACTCAAAATTTCGGGAAATTTTTCCACATCTGGGGAGATTTTGGGGTTTTTAGGCCATTTCCCTAAAATCAGGACATTGGGTTTTTGTGCCATTTTTCCATAATTTTCTATAGCGGCTTCCCCAAAACAGACAAAGTTTTCCAAAAAATGGGGAGTTTAGTACGTAATAAGGGAGTCCCTGAAAGGTATATGAATCTACGATATCAGTTCCGGATTCACATATCGACGCTAAGGAAACTACCGGGGAGCCAGGTCTGGGCGGTGTGGAGGATGTGTTCAAGAGGCAAAATAAGGTAAATGATTGGCTCACAGTGACAATCAAGAAAAGAAAAGTAAGAAGACAGAATTTGACCTCTACGTTTGATGCTAAATTGGAATCAGATTGCAGGGAAGAAACGATTTCAGGGACTAAAATTCCACAGCATGTTATGTTAAGAGAATCTGGACCTAATATATCCTCTTTTTTCCCACTGAGAATTCTGTATTGTTCCGGACATATTCAATAATGCCGCTATTATTACTATTTTTTTACCATAGTTATGACTGCCGTTACCTAGCTCCCACACTTAACATATATAAACTTAGGATACTGCCTATTTTTATTGGTAAAATAAATATCTTTAGTTCATAACTGTTATTTATTCAGTTTACAGTCTTATTCAACAATGAACTCAGGATGAACTTTAGTGCCCTATTTGCAAATATAAAAAATTCAGAATGCCCATTGTCTCTTCTGAAGAGCTATGTAAATGATGGCGTTGTCCTAAAGGACTTCAACAAATGCGAGGAAATTGGTTCACTCGTTTGCTTTCTCGTGTCTAAAACATATGGGCTTGGCCTCAAGATACTCCTTGACTGTGGTTTGGATATGTCTGCTAGTGTAAGTTTGCAGTTAGTACTTTTATTGTTACCATATTATTAAAACCGAAAAATTCAAATCAATTAATAATTTAATACTATATGTTGTTAGCTGTTTATCCAAAGAGTACATCTGACCTTCACTAACGAAATACAAGTTGCGGCTTAATCTATAAATGTTTCTAGTAAAATCAAATATTATCAAAATACGAAATGTCACCGCAAAGGTCCTAAGCATGTAGTTTTTTTATCATTTGTAAGGTCTGAGTTATCCCGTTATCGATATCGAAGACTACATTTCGATCAGTCCTTGTTGACACATGTGAATCTTGTTGGGTTCGCCCCAATGTAACCAATGTATCACAAGTTGTATGTAGAATAGATTAAACGTCCTTAACAATCTAATCCACCTTTCGTTCTAGTATTTTTTAAAATAAAAGAACATTTGGTATTGATTTGTGCATTTTGTTAACATTGTTTATTTAATTTAGCATCACATTACTGGAGACACACCATTGATCATCCTGTGCAACGAAGGTTTATGTGGTGCAACGAAACAACTAATTGATAAATTAGAACCGGCTAGTCTATTTCATTCCAACGTCATTGGATTAACAGCTATAACACAATTGCTCTGTCGCGCTCACGGGGCTTGCAGCTGCTTAGAAAGTCTTCTTTCACATCTGTGCCTTTGCAGTGCTCTTTTGCCAGTTGACCTGCGTATGAACAGTCATACACGCAGCATGAGTAGTATGGGACTTTTACATTCAGAACCCTTAGTTGAAAATGATGAAGGAAGTCAGGTGTTATTCACTGTTGATCAGCTACTGGGACGCATTAAGTCAGATAATAGTGAGCGTATCATCTCTGTATTACAACTGTGGATAAAAGCAAATCTTCTGCGTTTAACGTACAGTAAGTTTATTACAGCATTTCTCAAGTAAGGCGATTCCAAGTTTTATTTTCGGCCTATAGTCAAGCGGGTAGATTAATGTAGGTGCATGTACAAACTTGTGATCTCTATGTACCCGCTCTTTTTAGCACACTGTGAAATACTCAACGAGTAAGATACTAAAAATAATGTCAACAATATTGGAGCATCAAAAGCAGCGACCAATGTAGGTGAACGAAAGCATAGAGTATTAAAATATAAACACGTTTCTGGAGAATGTAGTAATTGGGTATGAGTAAAATATACTCAGGTCGCTTCAGTCAAGTTTACAATACTATCTGATTTACCACCGTAACCTTAGTGCTCTTGATCTAAAGTCAGCATTTGAAATCCTCGTATTTCCTTTGTTAAACATTACTGTTGTTTCAATGCTGACTGAATATCGTACTGGACTGTAAAGGGTTGGAAATTTAATCCATGACCCATGATATACCTCTTTAATTTATCCTTGTGTATGTCTTATTATGACGGGTGAACAAAAATATTTCCTTTCGGTACGTTATACTACTATAACACATTAATATAACCAGGATTGAGATTTAAAGCTATACAGACTGGGACTACGTTTTACCAAATATACGATTCACGGCAAGAAATAGATTACCAGAGTGTAAGCCAATAGTTTATTTAACACAATTACATGCAGTCTATACTTAGTGAAAATCAATGATGGGAAAGATACCACTTATTTTTAATAGTAAGAAAACTGTGTGTCAGTTCATGCTCAGTGACCAATCAGATTTTACCTCCATTTACCACATATTAATCTTTGATATAGGCTGAGAGAGACTTTCCAGTCTCAATAGTTCGATATCTAATGAAACAAGACCATGAACAAAGTTCAAGCACGTAGTCTGGAAGAAGTACCAATAGTTTATTGATCCTCTAGATTAGTAACAACATTCATATAGTCTCTCTGCCCACTGTTGAGTTGACATATGTTTCTCCTTATGCTTAAAGTTAGTGTCTATGTATGTAATTAAGTCACCTGTTAAAATAACTGGGTGACCTTCAACTCGCCTGAACTCCAAACAGTGAAGAGTAAGTACAGTGCTATCAGATTTAGCTGTAACCAGAGAACTGTCAGGTGAATTCTAATCTAGCAGTGGATGTTTTGCTTGTGAACTTAATGCATGACGTACATATACAAAGCCACAAGCTATTCCCATCAAACTGCCAGATGCTCAAATAACCACATTTAGGCCTTCTATGCGAATTTCGCGAAACAAAGCCACGATTAGGGAACTAAAGTTTTGGTTAGTAAGTTTCACTATTTTACTTGATATAAAATTCAAAAATAGAAGAGCAGTTTTACGAGATTATAATATTAATTTGCAGACCATATTGTTAGTACTGGTTGGATATACTGGAAATTATGCTAAGAAACAAAGTAACGTAGTAAATCTGGCTATTGCAAAATGTAGGATATTATGGCGTAAGGAGTAATAAAGTTGGATTGCTAAAAAAATATTTGTAGCACACGGAGGTAAATTAAAATTTGTAAATTCCTATTCAAAATCTCTTATCCATTGTTGTAACTTTGAGACATTGCAGTGAAAATTAATTTGATATTCTTTATTCATGAAAGCAACTGGAGACAGTTCTATGCAGAATGAACAATTAACATGCAACACAAATGTTTTGGGAGAAAGGCTTCTTAGACCTTTGCTGTCATGTGTTTTTTATTCAAACAACATTGGATCCATAATGAATAAACTTGAAATATTGATTTGTCAATTGCTCATCTTAGGTCAGTTACATGGATGCCTTTTAATTGATAGTATAACTCAGTCAAATCCAGTAGACTCGAAAAATCAATACTTGAATAACATGTAAGTTTACTGGGTGCTAACTTTTTCTGAAGGTAATTTAGTGGGTGTAATTGATGTTTTAACTTAAACACCCTATGGCCTTAAGATGGAAAGTAAAGTTTAATTACAAACGCTTGATGAAACTGTACGGTAAAATAGAGAAAACTATCCAACCACTGACTACCAAGTTACAGGAGATTCTTCAAAACATTTTAGGAATAATCCACATAAAGAAACAACAGGATGAAAAGCTCATCCTGGATCCACATGCCATCTATTTTAAACAATTAATGAAGTGACCAACTTTATGCTCGACTGACTGAATTCAGCAACCTGATTCGAATTTAATACTAGTGGGAGGAGAAATCTTACTGTTTATTCGCTGGGATGCAAATGTAGATTATATTTTTGTTATAGGTAACAAAATTGTTGCTGTAAACTCACTTATTCCACACCACTTATTAAGTTTTGCCATTCAGTTTTACTTTTTCCTTTTCTTAATATTCACCCAGTTTTTTTTTCAGTTAATACATCGATAAGTTCGAGCAGTTCATCTGCTGGTCAGCTAGCTAATCTTTTACTATTGATTTGAAAAAAGTGCTGTGGTCAAAACGTATATGGATTTTCTAACACACTAAGTTTAAAACCTATATTAGATATTAAAGTGAAGTATTGTTAGCAGATTCATGATACGTTAGTGTATACAATCTTACACAGTAACTAATACTATTGGTTTGTTTTACTTTGAATTTCATAGCTTAGAATATATACGATGCCATCTGAATGCACCACTAAACTTAAGACTTCTAGGGATACGTGCAATCCGTCGAATTTTACAGTACCGTTTTATATTAATTTGCCAGATGACTGATAAGTATAATTCGCTGATAAATGAAAATGCACTTTCGTTTGTAACATGGGTTGATCAATTACCTTTACCAAATATTATCAAACAACATATTCTTTTAAATCCAATGACCTTAAGAACTAGTTGAACAAACAACTTTGTCCTTATTTTTTTCTTTGGTTCGTGCATTTATTTTCGATTTTTTAAAACTTATTATTAAGTAAAGAAGGTTTTTATGTTTTCGATAAAAATGCAATAGACATATGTACAGAATAAAATTGAAATAAATTTATGTTCTGGTGTTCTTATAACTTCTGGTTAGTCTCCACATGATAGAAATTGATAGTACCAGATTGTGAATCTAAAGATAAAGTTAATTGTAGATCATAAGTGTTAGAATATAATCTGCTTACTTGTATATTCATGTATACTTTAAATACTGTGTAAATAGTATGAAAAGTACACTTAACCTTCGTACACAAACAATCCTTGCGAAACATTGATTTAAGCGGTTGAAATGTATTAAGCATGCTGAGTCGCTAGCTAATTTGACCGTGCTGCACTAAAATAAGAATCAGTTGGTGTAATGCTAAATACGACTAGACCAATACATGATACTAATCGGTGAGGCAACTTACCCAGTGTATGTAGTTCGCAAAAATACTTTGGCCAATATCCTGCTGGTAAATAACTTCTATGCCCAGCTGAACCCAGTACGTAAACTAAATAGCTAATTCTCACAAAACAACGTGATACTTTGATTCGAATGTTCTTTGATGTCCTAAGTTTATTAAGGCGAAAGGTTATAAAACATCCCAAATCGCATAAGTTCTACTAATAATAAATCCTTTGGATATCTTTTGCATACCTACTTTATACGTAATACTTTCTAACGTATACAGAAACTCTTTACCATCTGAACGATATCGAGTTACTGACTGGTCGAAAGTTGAATGCTACCACCGAATGCAAATACTGAAACCACGTATATCATTCGAACTGGCTTCCTTCAACGTTTGCACACTAATGCGAATCGGACAACAGATAGGAGTGGCTATGTCTTTAGAATGTCTCATTATCGATATCTGTTTTCTGTCCGACACCCGTGCTCAAAACTAATGAAGTCCTACAAATTCTCTCTCCATCTGTCATTTCGAAAACCTTGTTTCACGTGCGTTTGTCCGGGGGTGCTGTGGCATCTCCGTCTAACTTTTCTGGCGTTGGTGTCGCACTAAGCTCTAGAGTTGAGGCAGCACTGATCGATTGCATTCCCATTAACAGTCGGTTATGTGCTGTTAGATTAGAAAGCTCCATCAAAGTAAGAAAAAAATAGGTGTGAGGAACGATGTCTTTTCATCATCTCCACCTACACTCTGACAGATTACAGCCCGGATGAGACCAAGGATGAGTTTTACTACCAGTTAACTGTTCTTCAACAGAAGATGCTTTCGACGGATATTGTAGTACTAGCCGAGGACTTAAATGCTCAGGTCGGGCGTCTAGACACAGAACACAGTTGTTTAGGTGGTCGATGGGGACTTGATGGTTGCATGTCAGATAACGGTTACTGTTTATTGCAAATTCGCGCAGACTACGACCTGTTTCTGACTAACACTAACTTTCAGCACAGTTGTCCTTGATGTTCTACCTGGCGTCTTCCCATCACATCGCGTTTAACTACCGCTGGCGTGGTTGTGTACAAAACTGTCACTCCTTTTGGAGTACCTATCTGAACTCGGATCATGTCCTTGTTTGGACTAATCTTACCTTACATTTCAGTGGCCAACAAACTCATCGTCCTAAACGGATCGATGTCAGCAAATTGCTTGCAGCTCCTGTTGCAACAAAATATCAAACCGAGCTGAGTTCAAGGCTAGCTATCAACCAACCGAAAAGTATAGATGTATGTTGGCTGAAATTGCATGACGCCATGAAGAAGGTTAGTAAATTCACTTGCGGCTTTGCAAAACGTCCTGCCTACAAGCACAGGGTTTCTACAGGCTTCTTACAACTCATTGAAGCACGTTGGTCTACTCCGGGTGACCGTGAGTTTGACCATAAATGAAGTTGTGCAAAGCTTGTGTAATGTCATAGAAGCCCGGTGGTTGGAGCGTATCAATGAGTTGGAAACAGTAATTACTTCCGGTCACTGCCGGAAGCTCTTTCAACTCATCTTAGTTACTGGCAGCAAGAGGTCTGGTGTGAGTGAAACAATCTGTAAAGCTGACGAGATTCCAATCATTAACATCCACCGGCGTCTTGAACGATGGGCAGTTTTTCGAGGAGGAGTAGTAGTATTGGTCTGCTGCTCCGGCGACATCGATCACACTGTTTTACCCTTCATGGTATGTGACGACTAATCCATCTAATAAGGCAGAACTCTGCAAGGAACTCCAACTTTGAAGCTCTACAAATGACCAGAACCAGACGACTTACCTCCGGTCCATCTTAAAGATGTTGGCGACTTTGTGGTTGAGGAACTAACTGAGTTGTCTACAAAAATCTGGTAATTAGTGTCCCAACACTGCAATGAGTTGTTTCTGTCTTTAAAAAGGGTTCAATTTGTTTTAGCAACGACTATCGGGGGATGCGTCTATTTTAATCAGCTTTGAGCCAAGCTTTAGCTGTATGAGAGCTAATTATACTATGCAGAAAGCCAAAGTAGGTAAACTGAATTTTGTGCTGGCGACCGAATAGATAGAAGTTGCGCACTTTTACCATTATAGATGAATAAACTAAGATAGCAATCCACTAGGTAGTGTGGAACTTTATCATCAGTAAGGCTTGTTTCCACACAAAAAAGAATTAGATTTCCGGGAGTACTGTGTGTGTGACAGGAGTTTACAAGAGCTTACAAAATTAATTCTTCGAATGTCAAACTATAAAAGTAGTCGCATGACCATTAAGCAGCTTAAAAACTTACCATATGACGCCGAAAGAGTGTATGCCTCACCCTGATAGACGAATTCGATTATAAAGGTTGGTTCATCTGCATAGCCACGAATAAATATTCCATTGTACAAGCACCACATTATTAAGTCATGGGTTGAAGCACCAGATCCCATTCCTTTTACATTAAAACAAAGCATCCAGTGAGATGTTTCATAAGAATTGAAGTGTAAGTTTGTAAAAATTATTTCTATGTAATTAAATTTCGTTTTCATTGGAAATAGTTTAAGTCCCAGCATTTCTTACCAAAGTATAAAATGTTTCAGCTATTCATTTTACTTTCACAAAATTCAAGCAATAAACATCTATAACCAACTTCCTAAAGGTTAAGGAAGAAGCGAATGAAACAACTTTTTGTTTCATAGAACGTTTCAAACTATTCACACTACTTAGGTTTAATAAGTTTAGTGTACTCGGGCTAAAAAATTATATCTGGAGTCTGGTATATTTCCTTTAGTGACCAATTAAAGAATGAACAAGAAAGCCAAGGTCATAACACTCTTTAAAAGGTGATAAACATGCGGCAATCCAACGCTAAGTTTTTTGAAAGAATCATATTCTCATCGTACTTCAAACAGATTAATCCGTTAGGAACTGCAACTGAGAAAACTAGTTTTGGGGGCACTTGCAGCACAGAATAAGAATGTGATAAGTAGAGGTTTTACACTAGAACAACCTTAATATGAGAATGAAAATAGAACTTATTTTTACAGTGCAAGAAATTCAGGAATAAAGTGATTATCGTAAACCCTGACAAAACCAAAATCTCGCAAATTCTCACAAGCGTTCCGCTTACCTTCTACACAGATAGTTGTTTGTTGGGATTCAGGCTGGTTGGCAAATGCAGCTAAGTGAGCTACTAATGATTCTGATTCATCGTTGTCAAGATCTTCGTCATCATCTTCATTATCTATAGTATGCGTAGGGCTTAGTCGTCGACCTCCAGTTTGACATCCATTAGTGCTAGTTTGAAAAAACCTATCATTATTAACGATTGTCTTGTTGAATTTTGACCTCAGGTTTCTGTTATTTGGACTCTTTTCCAAGCGTTGAAGTGATGAAGCATCTAACTCCGATTCAATATTTACGTTAGAGCTAACAAGTGGAAAATTGTAAATCATAATTAAGTTCAATAGATTAATGTAAATCTCCAATAAATTTGAAGCTTCTTGATACTTTAAAACTGTGTCACTTACTTATCTGCATTTAATGTTTCATTGATTACATTTTCTGGCAAAGCGACTAACGCGTCCATTACTTGTGCCATCAAACTTGGATTATTCACCTGTTCACCTATGTCATTCAAAATGACTAGACCACTGGAACCGTCTTCATTAGACTGATGATGAACATAAAGCGTTTCACCATCCGGAGTTTCAACTATCATCTGATAATGAAAATTATATTTATTTATTTGAAAATTGTACGAAAAAGTTGGATGTCATGATTCTCAAATAATAAACTACACACTACATGAAAGAGTAGGACACTTCCTTAATTTTACTTCGTCCAATGAAAATATGAGTCAAGTATATTTTGAACACCGTACACTTTCGAAATAGTGAACACAAATACCCACCCCACTACCGGCTAATAACACTATTAGCCATTACCGATTATAAATTATATATGACTACACAAAACAATATAAAATCCATGCAAAAAGCTCAAGCACTAACAGACGCTCACCGATTTACGTTCTATAACTAAAAATGACGGAACGACAACCTTGACGTCAATTTTTCCTTTGAATCAGTCAGTCAGCTACAACATAGGACCAGGCACATATATGCATCGGTCCAAGTTGCCATACCTCATCAACACAACAAGATGGACACCGGATTCATAAAAGTAGTTAATTCAGAGGTGGTAATATATAAAAGAAAGATTGCAATAAGGATATAGTACAGGAAGAAAGAATTAGTTAGTAGAAAGAAAGATATGAAGCAATTTTAATCTCTTAGTTTAAGGGAAGATAGAGAGTGTATACACCGACGCCATTGTGATCGATTCTGAGCCATGTCACCAAGAGTCTCCAACCATTGGTTACGATAGTCACGCGGACCCCAACCAAGTAGTCTGCATCTACCAACATGGCTCAGACTAGAGGTTAGTGACTTCAAGCACTGATGCCACGTTTTGGTTTGGCCGCCCCTAACTTTCTTCCAACCATCCCGAACACCGGTTAGCATTGCACGTCGTGGTAATCGGTGTTCAGGCATACGTAATACGTGGCCCAACCATCTCAGTTGATGAAAATTCACAACCTCATCAACTGATTTACCATTATTCCCTAATACCCTGCGTCGAACCTCACTATTACTTACCCGGTGATGCCAGCAATATTTCTAAGGCATCTGTGGTCAAATACTAGTAGCTTACGACTGTCTTCTACTTTTAATGGCCATATTTCGCTGCCGTAAATTAAGACAGAACGGACTGTCGCGCAGTATACTCGTCCTTTTATTGGTAGACGGATATCTCGCCTTCGCCATAGGTGACGTAAGTTGGCAAAAGCCAAGCGACCTTTTCGAATCCGTGCTGAGATTTCGTCAGACACCAACCCATTAGGGCTGATCAGACTTCCAAGATAAGTGAAGTTGTCAACGCGTTTGACTACTTCACTCACTTAGTTCAGGTGTTGACGCAGACCAGTCCTGAAGCAACAACTTGCATTTAGAGGGAGAGAAGCGCATTCCAAACATTCTGTCATTGTTGCTCAGTGCTACCAAAAGACTCTGCATTTTATCAGCGTCTTCACCAAACAGGACTATGTCATCTGCGTATTCTACGTCGATAAGTGGACCTCCTGGAAGGAGATCAATACCCGAGAAAGTTATTTCCATCAATAGGTCTGTGATGAAGTTAAACAAAAATGGAGAAAGTGGACAGCCTTGACGGACACCACTTGAGGTTGAAAAAGCAGATAACAGTTCGCCATCAGCTCTGACTCGACTAGCAGTGTTCGAGTAAAGAGCCTTCACAAGGCTTATGTACTTCTGAGGTACGTCTTTCAATGACAGACACTGCCACAGAACCTCGCGGTCTACCGAGTCAAATGCTGCTTTCAAGTCAAGAAAGACTACCAATGTCGGACGCCGGTAAGTATGCCTACGTTCTAGAACCTGACGAATGGTGAATATGTGGTCGACTTCTTAATTTGATTTTTTTTCATTAGTCCGAAAAGCTGTCTTGCGTTACCTACAATCGCTGCCTTTTCCGTCTCTTTTGCTTTCGTTGCCCACCACTGCCCACAGTCGTTCCTTAGACTTTTGTTTAACCTAGATCTGATTTGTTTTCGTTCTTCATCGTGTTCAGAGCCTGGTGGGACGAGTTTACGAGAATCAATCAGTGCAACAGACCTGGAGGAAATCCATTGGTTCTTTGTAACCCTTTGGTTTAAATCACTAACAGATGTCACTGCTGTTTCCACAGCTGTTTGTATATCTTTCCAAGCAACATATGGATCAGTCTCGTTTTCAGAACTACCTAATTGTGACCTCAGTTGTTCCTGGAACCTACTTTTGGTTTTCTCATTACTCAATTCAATTCTAATGGGTCTTTTTACTGTGGATTTTTTGCGTCCAGTGAGGTGCAAGCAGATGCGTGCCCGTATTAGAGAATGTTAGGAGTTCAAGCAGGTATTCCAGAATGAGCAACAATCTTCTACCGAACCTCTCCAACGATGACTGATGGCAATATGGTCTATTTGAGTCCATCGTTGGTTTGGTGTAGGGGGTCGCCATGTTAGACGATGTCTCTCCTTATGCTTTAAATAAGTGATTGCTAAAAATAAACGATTGTCTGAGCACAGTTGCAGCAGACGATCGCCATTATCTGTTTGCTGAGCCGGAATACTGAAATACCCACCTAAATGCCTTTCTGTTTGGTTTACACTACCTATCTGGGCATTAAAGTCACCTGCTACGAGTACTATGTCTGAACGTTTAGCTTTCTGAAGAAGTACAGATAGCTTTCTGTAAAATTCATCTTTCACTTCATCTGAGCTGCAGTTGGTGGGAGCGTAGGCAGAAACGACGAACGGGCAACGCCGTGTGTCCCTATCCTTCCGAGTTCTTACGGAGATGTTTAGCCGAACAGCACAGACGACTGTTAACGGGGATCCACTCTAACAGTGCTTATTCCGCCCTCATGCTTAGTGCTATGCCTACACCTGCCAGTCCACGAGAACTAGCCATTGGGTCGCCAGATACATGGAGGGTGTATCTCGTTGGCTCTCCGTTTTGGCGAGGTGAGGTCCAGTGAATGACCATACTAGGATTCTGTATGTGTTTCGGAGACACAACATACATCAATGGTACGAGATTCTAGGGTTCTAGCCAAGGAAGCCTGTTGACCGATTTGACATAGGATGCGTACGTTGAAGGCTCCAATGTGTAGTTTGGAGCGAGGTTTCAGTAAACCTGGGACAGTGTTTTGAGCACTAGAATCGTTGGCTATGGTGACATTTGAGGAGGAAGCCGAAAAAGGAAGTTTAGAGGTGAAAGTCGATGTAGGAGGAATAATAGGAATTGAAGAGGAAGGTTGATTATGAATACAGTGGTCTTGAGTGCTGTTAGAGGTATGAGGGCGGTTATCACTTCCCGGTTGCCCACTCCGTGGAAGGGTTCTTCTGGAGGTACCTAAAAGGGAAATTGGATTAGAGGTGGTCTTAGTGACCTGGGAGCGTGACCGCAGTGCCCAAGGGACAACTGCTTGAGGTCGGTCACACACGATCTTATTATGGGTAATTTTTGTGTTAGCTCCGTACTTTTTGGGACCTTACCGCCGGAGACGGATGTCCGTGGGATAAGGCGAGGTGTGCATTTTTAGGGTCGACTTTTTCTAACCCCACCCCTCCTTGTGGGAAGGCAGCATCGCTGTCATGCTGGTTGTCTAAAGGAAACACCTTACTGCTGTCACACCTCTGTACAGTTAGCAGTACGACTTCGCTTTCGGACTTTGGGTTTGTTGCTTTTAGTCTTACCGCTCATCAACCGACCTGTCTGACATGGTAGGACCTTGAGGAACAGTTGTTCCAGCCAGTATAGCTCGATTGATTCATCATGATAGGCAAGCCCGACCACCATGTCGAGGTAGCAACAATGGTCGGGTTTTCTTCGGGTAGTGATAGTGACTTTCAAATATTAAGTATGAAAACTAACTGGAGTAAAAAACCTGTCAAGAAAATCAGTAAAAAGAGCATCCTATTGACAACTTGTATAAGCAATGTCAGACATCAAAAACACATTAAAACTTGTATAGGGGTCGAAAACTTGTTCAGTTTACTAGATCAATGAAAGTTTGGAAACAAATTACAAGCTGTCACTCTTATTTTCCGTTTTTAGGGTTGAAAACCGTTACTGTACCCAAATCAGATCCTAATGACACATTTTTGAATCAAGGTATGGATGACGCAGCTATTGAAGTCGAGGTGACACTAGCGAGACACTGATTCGAATTACAGTGCTAAGCTAATAAGCTATCGTTCTGCATCCATTAAAACACAAAACTTACAGATATCAAACTTTTTATTTGAACACCAACACAACTCTGTGAAGAAGTGAGGCCTCATTAAACGAAAGCACAAGGTTTTGTACTAAGAAACTAAAAATGGTGTGATGTTGGTGACGAACTGAATTTAGCTCGAGATTTACTGCCACCTATAACGATGAAGAATATGGTGAACATATTCCAGCGTGGAGTAAGGATTGATACAGCTGTCTGGACCACTACACACTACACTTCATACAACCTACTACCAGGCCAATTATCATTAACATAGAGCCCGATACGAATGTGCACTACCCAAGTTTCTCAAACTCAATCACCAAAACGATATGAAAATACGATGAATAGCGAAATAATAGTAGTATCAATAGGTAAGACAGATTAAACATTAGAGAATATAATTCCAAAGTGGATAGATTGGGTGAATAAAAAGTATGAAATAGTATAGAAAAATAAGACTGAGGGGAAAATAAAGGGAATGAGTCTGCACCATTGTGATCAGTACTAAGCCATATCAGCCAATGCTCATAACCACTGATTACGGTTATTACACCGATCAAATCGAGTAATTTGCGCCTAATGACACCGGTTCCGTCCAACAAACAATGACTGCAGAGATTGATTCTGTCCTGCTTTGGGGGCCGCTAACTTCTTTTCAAACTAATCCTACATCAACGAACATTGTTTGTCGTGGCAGACGGTGGTTCAACATACATACCAAAAGCCACAACCACCCAGGTCGATAAAGATTTATCATCTTTACCTAGTGTCCGGCATTTAAACCACCTGGACTGATAAGACTTTCAAGATAAATGAAGTGTTCAACACTCTCAGCCTAGGTGTCAAAGCAACACTTTGGACTTACAGGGAGAAATACATCTCAAACGCGCTTATATTGTTATCCAGGACGACCGAGAAACTGCAAGTTGTCAGTATCTGCACTAAAAAGAACTACATCATCTGTGTAGTTGGAGTCCACTAGTGAATCATTTGTTAGGAGATCAACCCCAGAAAAGTCAGACAAATAAAGCGTTATCTCTTTTAGAGATTTCCAATAACGAAGTTAAATAAAAATGGGGTTGTGCAACCTTGATGAACACTATTTGAAGTTACCAATTCTGATGATAGTTCGATACAATCTCTGATCTCACTAATAGTGTTCTGATAGAAATCCTTTAAGTAGACGATAAACTTCTTTAGCAAGTCTTTCTATGACAGAAATCACTACAAAACATGTAGGTCTACGGAGTGGGACACGATCTTCAAGTCAGAACATACTGTTATGACAAGGTGTCGGTAAGTGGGCCTGTTCTAGAAACTAAAGAAGAGGTGTGTGATCCACACATGCACGCCTAGACGTGTAACCAGCCCAGTTTTCCCGAATCTGTCATACACGAGCCCTAGTCAAGCACTAAACGATTACTGAGAATAAAACTCAACACAATATATTGGTCAAACAAATACCCCAATGGTTACCACAAAATCTCAGTCCTTTTTTATACACTGGAAAGACCAGTTATCAAGACAACTTAGATGGGATCATGTCCACTCTTCAGACTTTTGCCAAAATTTGGCCACCATCTTAAAGGATATCCAGACTTCGTCCACCAGGTTCCCCCAACCCCTCTCGATTCAGATTAGAGGGTCTTCCCGATATCGGTAGGTGTTGGTGGCTCGTGTCGATCACCCATTTATCTAGGAATAGTATATAAATACAGTGTAAATAGCAAGCAAACTGTTAATCGCAGTATCCTGGTCATTTTATCAACCTTCTAGAGGGGAGAGTAGATTACGGTCCCGTCTCTTTCGGGGATAATTCCATCAATACTTGACTTTTTAAAATGTTTCTCGGACTGGTTTGAAAAATTATCTTGTGTTTCCTGTCGCCAGAACTGTTCCATCTCTTGCTTTCATCACCTATCACAACTCACGATTATTGCGTACACTATATGTCCGTCAATGTTTAAGTTCTCTTTGGTTACCGCGTTTTGAACCTGATGTGATGAGTTTCCGAGTTCCTGTCAATTCAGCAGACCACCAAAACCCAATGGTCCTTCACAACCTTTTGGTTTAAATGATTGATAGATAACAATACTATTTTCACGGCTATTCGAATACCATGGTAGACTAGAGAAGGACTATTACCTTCATGGTTTACTAAGCAGATAGTAGTAGTAGTAGTACAATATAAAAAGCAAGCATTTCAGCGAAAATTTAAGGGCGAAAATAAAGATCACACAGCTTACAACATCTCTTGGACAATCTTCATCCAAAGGCAATAAAATATCACCAGATAAATTTGGTTTGTTTTTAATATTCGGAATAGAATCTGTATTATCTGCCTGTGTTGACTGTGATAATGAATAAGGAGTGGTTTGGACTTCCGAATTTTCACCATGAACATTTGTATTTTCACTTAATTCAGTTTTCCATATTCGTTTATTAGAACCACTGTGACCACTTTTTACTTTCGTAAGAGTTGTAATTTTTTCATCTTCATTAGAAGCATCACCACCATTTGAGAATGTTTCGGAGATATCAGAGTCTTGTATGTTGGAAGACTCCTCAACCGTTGTCGCGGTGACAGTCACCTCATCAGCTGGAGGAGCAGCTGGAACTAACGTCTCTTCCTCCGTTAAGATGTATGCGTTAGCACCTACTATATCCCCATTCGTGGCAGCCATACGACCGACTGACGATACTAAATCATACTGAGTATTCTGCAGAAATTTCGAAAGTTGATGAAAAAAAATGTTGAGATGAACAATATACCATTTTTGTACGGTATAGGTTATCATCCATTTATAGAAGATAAAGTAACTTAAAGTAAATTGTATGCTTTAGATTCTTTTTAGTTACAGACAACTATCCTGTTATCTTCTAGAAAGGATAATAATCCTACACTTGAGTTCATCTACTAATGTCAATGTAGCATTCAGCTTATTAACTGATACAAAATCATTAGGTGTGTTAGTTTACAAAATTCACCAACTTACCGCCTAGAATGTGACGAGCTTATTCCAGAGTTATCACAGTGGAACATTACGATTTGCACGGGTGTTTTGCAATTCAGATCAATCTTTTAGTAACATGTACTTCCTGTTAGTATAATAATCAGTGACATGTAAATGAAATCACGATATTTGAACTATAATATTTACCAAAATGTCTCCTAATTGACAATGTAAAAACCGAATATAAACTTTGCATAGTTTCAGAAAAGACAGATACGTATATGACTTACTAACATAGCATCCCGAGCATCATTGTGTTGCTTACATTCAGCTATATCTAAAGGAGTCATTTCGAATTTGTTCTGGAGATGTGCATCAGCTCCAAAACGCATCAACATTTGAACAACAGGTGTATGACCTCTTTCGGCTGCCCAGTGTAGTGCTGTCATACGTAACATATCCTTAGCACTAAGATCCGCTCCATTACGCAACAGAAGCTCCACAATATCTGCGTGACCCTCTTGAGCAGCTAAATGGAGAGGAGTACGATCAACTTTAGTCCGAGCGTCCCTGCTAATACCAGCACGTAGGAGCGCTTCACATGAACTAAGATGTCCATTCATAGCAGCGAAATGGAGAGGAGATATTCCCAACTATAAAGAAGTAATAAAAATTATAGCAAGCACAAAAAGAGAATTAAACGAAGAAAATTCTCTTTCCGGCGAAATCATTTGTTTAAGCCGTACATTCGTATTTATAGTTGGGTTTTCTTTGCTGAATCCTTTTTACTTTTATTCAATGACACAATGGGTTATTTTAGTTCTATATATGCTAACAACTTGATACTATGAAATACCATTCCCAGTCTTCAGAAATAACAATGATAGATACAAATAGATTTTATCATCTGAATCAAAAAGTAAGCCTTTTTATATAAATCATACGGATCGAGAACCGTGTATAAATTTTGTGTTTTTGGGAACCCACAGAGTATTCACTTGTGGTTATCCCCAGAACCTTATCTAACAATTTGATAAATCAGGACGATTAATTTTGATGTCTGGGGAAGGGCGACAATGATTGGCTGTTTGCTTAGTCAGACTTGTAGGTTTTCTGACAGGCGTTAAATGCGCTATATATTCTCTTATCCTTATTATTACTGGATTGTTGTAGGTTTTTGGTGTGGAAATATATTTACATTCTAATCAGGCTAATCACGTACTCTTGATCTGAGTTGTTTTGAAGTCCTGTAGAATAAACATTTGGGGGAATCTAGTGTAGACATTCGTCCAAGACAGATTAATGTCCCATTCGTGTAGACGAGGAAAATCCGCGCCTTCTAACAAATTTATATTAGCACGATGAGAAAATCAACAAAATGAGTAGAATATAAGGTTTTGAGGGAAATGATCACTTTGTAATTTATATAGCCAGATGACCATCGAAACAACGAAGTAATGGGTAGCTATTTCTTTCCAGTATGAGACTCCTCAGAAGTCTGTACACACGAGGTTATGGCGAACTGTCGTCCGAACTGGTGACTTTAAATGGTGTTCGTCAGGGCTGTTTACTTTTCCCATTTTAGAGATAACATTTTAATCACCTGACTTTTCAGGGGTTTATCTTTAACCAGGCGATTCGCTCGTTGACGATATAGTTCTGTTTGCTGAAGACGCTGACAAAATGCAATCTTCCGACCAACTTAAGTAAAAATGGAAGTTTGTTTGAGATTCGGCTCTCTCTCCAAATGCAAAATGCTGCTTTAAAACTCGTTTGTGTTATCGCCTAAATTTATGATTGGGTGTGAAGTAGCTGGGCGTATCAACTGCCCCACTTATATTAAAAATTTCATCAGTCCTTGCGGGCTGGTTTATGAAGAAACCTTGGCACAGATTCAGAAAGCTCAGTTTGCTTTTGCCAACATGAGCCACTTGTGGAGTACGTGAGATATCCGTCTACCAACCAAAGAACAAGTTTACTGTGAAACAGTTTATGGGTGTGAAAAACCGCCATTAGCAATATAGGATATTCGTGGGTTACCAGTATTCAACCATAGGTGTCTCCGAAGCATTGCTCGTGTATTGCACCCACTAAGCAATGGCGGAATTGGGAATAGGGTACTAGATGGAGATGGCAAATAGATTGAGGAGGTAGAAGCATCAGCATAAAGAGTGCATCTCTGTTGATTCCCTGAGCAAGATTCGAGAATGGAAGAACAACACACCGATCAACAACAGCTGAACAAGAGCAGAGAAAGCCAAAGTAAAGGCCGAATACACAGAGGAAAACAAACGACTGAAGAGGAGGATTAGAGCCGATAAACGGAAATACATGGAAGACCTAGCAATGACAGCAGAAAAAGCTGCAAGAGATGGAAATTTAAAACAACTATACGGAACAACAAAGCTATCAGGAAAATATGGTACATTAAAGCGACCAGCCAAGAACAAAAAAGGCAAACCAATCACAGATCAAAGAACGAAGGAAAAGGTTGCTAGGGGATTTTGAAGAGTTCTCCGGCAGACCGGGTCAGCTGAGCACACCGGACATCGAAGGAGTATCTACAGACCTACCTGCAGATGTTACCGCACCAACAATCAAGGAGATCAGCCTGGTTATGAGACAAATCAAGGATGGCAAAGCAGAAGGACCAGATGGCATACCAGCTGAGGCACTTAATTCAGACTTAGAAGTAACTACGAAGATACTCCATATTCTCTTTGGAAAGATTTAGGATGAAAAACTGTTATATCCTAACGAAGATTAAATTACGAGTAACTTCTGAGACCCATAATGGACTAATATTATCTATACATCATTATGGTATAACTATTCAGTAATTAGATTGTGTATATTTATGTTCATCTTATTATAAGCTTCATTTTAACCTATAGATTATTATTGTACGATTTACTGTTCTTAAGTTATACTCTGTTTATTAATTACTGTATCCCACGTTCACAGCCACTTCTGGCTTTATTGTGTATAAATGTTATTTCCTATTTTATGGTGCGTTGCGGTCTGTTTGGTTGATATATAAACCCAGTATTTATGAAATAAATGATTCTCATAGTAGAAGCTGCATTAGTGTTCTGGACTCAACTGGAACGGCTAGGTGATCAAGGGACCAATAAGGACTCTAGACTGCTCACACTGGTCGAACGTCATTGGTTTAGCACAGTGTGAAGATTGTATTTCGATCGGCGGATAAATCACGTGATAACCAGCCGAACTTAAAGTCACAACAAAAACAAGTATCGACAGACTGGATAGAAGGATACCTCATTAAAATACTAAAGAAAGGAGATCTTAGTAAACGTGAGAACCATAGAGGCATTAAACCACTGACCAGTCCCAGGAAAAGTTTTCGACAGTGTTGTTGAGCTGAAAGGAAAATTCAGCAGGTGCCCAACTTCGAGATAAACAGGATGGATTCCGTAGGGATAGATCGTGTGTCAATTAAATCGCTACAATACGGATTATTGTTGAACAATCGGTTGGATGAACCTCGTCACTATACATCAACTTCCTTGACTGTGAGAAAGTATTGGACAGTACAGATGGCAGAACCTTAAAGCATCTTGTTCGACACTACGGTGTACCTAAGAAGATTGTAACCGTCATACGGGATTCACACGACTAAATACACTGAAGATTCGTGTACAGAGGACAACTAACAGATCCATTCCAAGTGAGGACCTGAGTCAGATAAGGCTGTTTCCTCTCCCCCTTTCGCAGATAACCTAGCTCTTCTATTCCATAAAGACCAACAAATGCAGGTGAATACAGCCAGTTTAGTGGCAACCTGTGCAGCAGTAGGCTTCAACATACACAAAGGGAAAAACAAGATTCTCAAATACAACACAGAGAACACCACCCTAATCTCACTTGATGGAGAAGCTCTGGAAGAGGTCAGAACTTTTACATATCTGGGTAGCATCATCGATAAACAAGGATAATCCGATGCAGACGTAAAAGCAAGGATAACCAAGTAAGGACAGCATTCCTACAACTGAAGAACATATGGAAATCAAAAGAGCTGTCTGTAAGTCGACATCCAAGTCAGAATCTTCAATAAGAAACGTCAAGACAGTTCTACTGTACGGAGCTGAAACGCGGAGAACTACTTCAACCAGCATCAAAAAGGTACAAGTACTTATAAACAACTGTCTGCGCAAGATACTCAACATCCATTGACCAGATACCATCAGCAACAGCCTTCTGTGGGAGAGAACAAACCAGCTTCCAGCTGAAGAGAAAATTAGGAAAAAAATGTTTGAGGTGGATAGGATATACATTGCGAGAATCATCGAACTGCATCAGAAATCAAGCCCTGGCTTGGAATTCTCAAATAAAAAAGAAAAGAGGGAGACCAAAGAACATATGGTGCTGGGAATTGGAGGTAGACATCAAAATAATTGATAGCACCTTTCAACAATTGGAAAGGAGCTCAAGATAGAATAGGTTAGAGACTCCTGATCAACAGCTTATGATCCACGAGAAGCAACAGAAGTATATTAGGATGTTAGGCGCTAAATAAACCAAGCCTGACGTTTTAATTTATAGAAGCCCATGTCACGGAACATGCATAAATGCTAGCAATACATAGTTCTACTGTTCAATCACAACTTTCAGTCAGTCAGCTACAACGTAGGACCAGGCGCATATATGCATCGGTTCAAGTTGCTATACCTCATTAGCACAAAAAGAACACCAATCATGACTTTGTGAACAAGCCAAATAACTTACCCAGTCAGTAGTAAACGGTGCTCCATTATTTATTAAATTCTTGACTTCCTCGACATCTCCGTTTTTTGCGGCATCCAGTAAACGCTTGCCAAGATCAACCAAGGAAAAGGCTTGTGAGACATGAGAAAAAAGTCTTGGGTCGTTATGTGCCAATGGTATAATATATTGATTCATGATCTGCAAAAGTTAAGTATATCACAATGCATACGGATCAAAAAATGCAATACACACACAAGATTTCTTTAAAAGTAGTTGAAAATGGAGAAACTTGTATACTTCAGAATCCCAAGTCTATAATTACATACTGTATGAATAATAAAGTACTGACACTCGATTCTAAGAGAATCAATCAAATTTCTAAAATATGATCATACGCTTTTTCTAGACGAAACTTTTTATGATTACAGAAGTACAAACGAGCATATCTGGTACTATTTATCATGAGAAAAAATTGATGAGGCGATACTGAAGTGGAAAGAACCTAGAGCTACATATTTATAAATACATGAAAACCCTATTTTACTGTCTTGTTTTCTGATATACGTCCATTTGGGGATTTCGGTCAGTAATTCGGTACCATGATCAGATATCAATTAGTCATTTCATATTATTGCATTCTATTTACTGTTCATCAAAT